ATTCAAGACATAAGTGCAGTAGATAGCATGCTGAATGTCTTTCTCACCCACTGCTCGTTTATTTCCATGAATGTATCCTACCATCTCTGTCAACCAACACCTTTGAGGGTTTTGTTTTTACCTCAAACCATCACAGTCACCAAGCTTACAGCATGGCCCCTCAAACAGTTGCATTACTGTTACAATTACATTGCTGTGACAGAACACCAAAGCAACAGCAGTGGTTAAGAACTTGAGAGCTTGATAAATGGTACCTCAGAAGCCAACACAAATTTAAATTAGGTGGATGTATATTTTGCCACCCACACTTGCATCTGCCTATGCTTCTAGAAATTCTTGCTTTCCTTTCACCAGTAAGATGATGGATTGTGAAACAGCTGCTACACAGGCAGGAACTAGTTTAGCATGTTAAGAAAAATGAAAGGCTAATGCCAGCTTTCTCTAGAAGAACCTGTGATAATTTGCAATTACCTCACAAGACAGTGAGATACCCTGGCCATCAGTAGTAGGCACGTCTCAAGATGAGGAGACATATGTGGTCAGCAGCCTGGCACAGCCTCTTAATTTCTGCATGTGGTTCTGCATCAGTATCACAAACAGTAAGACCAAAGAAAAAAGAGTGGTATGAGTCAGCCCAAAGCACACCTCCAAAAGAATTCTAATTGAAACACAGCAGCTGATGATGCAGCAGACACTGATCTCAACAAAATGGCACAAGCTCCAAGGGTGACTTTTGTACCACTAGGCTGACCAGCTGCTATAGTCATCACATGACCACTCACAAGCAGAAGTCAATTGATGTTACTTGATTATACATTCTTTTTACTTGGACACTCAGCTTTTGCATTGCTTTTCATGCCACTCTTACAAACAAAAGTTTTGAAACTACAGTCTGCTTGGATACTGAACACTAATATTCCCTCTTCAAAAAAATCCCTCCATGCAACCCTGAAGTCCTTGCAAAAAATGTTAATAATAATAAAAGTAATAATAATAAAAAATCAAACATGAAATATTGTTCAACTTCATAAAGGCACAAATTATAAATTTCCTCTGTAATGACTGTTACAAAATTACCTTTTGTAATCACCAATAAAAGTTTTTTATTAGAGAAAGCCAAAAAAGTACGTTTCCCACAAAGGTATTTCTACATGGAACAAGACTATATTTTAAGCTGTGAGATTACTAAAACATTGTTTTGAAGTACAAACTTTAACACTTCATGGCTTTTATCAGCTTTTGCCATTGATCAGATCTGTGTAATCCAAAATCTGACTCTGGATATAACCCATTGTTTCAAGCAAAAGCACTAATTTTATAAAAAAACAAGGAATTTACTGTTCAGCTACAGTAAACTGTTCTTCCTGAAATTTTCACAAATGCTAAGTTTGAAAATCTTTTACTGAAACTACTTAAACACATTTTCATACTATGTTGCTCAGCTAAGCTACTTCCAATGAGGTACAAACAACATGCCAACATCAATACTAGAAACTGCTGCAAGCTAGGTCCAAAACCACAAGGCTGTACATACAAGACAGACAATAAATCTTGTATATGCTTAAAAATACATTAAATAAATGTATGTAAAAAGTCGCTTTACATATGGTTAGGTTTCAGTTTACTTATTTACATCAGACTCTCTGTGTTAATAGTAGCAGCATGACTAAGGAACAGCCTGTACAGTGTGTTGGAATGCACATATCATGGACAAAAACATCAGGTTCTGATACAGCCATCTAGCTACTGCGTCCTTACTCCATACACTAGCTATCCTGCCTCACAGAAAAAAAAAGATACATGTTCTAAGACTGACAAGGTCAACACTTAGCAGCACTTTAACTGACACATAGCATGAAGTGTGAAAACTTAATATACCGTGTTTTCCACACAGGTCAGCCCTTTATAAAGACAACCCCAAAGTCTGGCATGACTTTAGCTACATCTTTCCTTCATGACTTCTACCACTTTAGCTAGTGCATGTGTATTAATAAAAGAAGCCAAAGACCAAAGCTTGTCAGCTGAAATTTGTTAACTGACCTACTGAAAGCTTACAAAACAGCTATCGTTTGTCTAAGTTCCCCTCCAAGAAAAACAAGTAAGGATGTTTCTGACAACAGATTCAGAACTCTTCATCTTCAGGCATGGACAAAGACCACAGTTTCTCAGCAGAAGTTAGAAAGCGTTTGAAGTGACTGATTTAAGAAGTAAGCAAGTGTGCTACAAGTAGCACCATGATGTATCACAACCTTGAAGACTTTAGACTAGAAGGGTTGCATTCCATGCAAAACCTCACAGCACTGACTAACCTCATATGCAGCATCATCAACCAGATGACTTAAAAAACTAGTCTTGCTGATGCTGCATGCAGTAACTGCAAACATAATTACAAAGGGCCTGAGCCCTTAAGCTGAGTAAAGAACATGAAATCAAAGTCATTGTACCTACTCCCTCAGTGTTTGACCAACTACAGCTGAAGTCAGAATGGAGCAGCACTGTGTGGGAATTGTCATCACCTACCATCCTGCTTGGTGACAACAAATGCAGTTGCTTCTGCTGCAGTGCTCAGAACTGCTGCAGCATTCCGTTCACTGAGTTGTTTGTGGGTTTTTTGACAAGCCTCTTATTTAGCTGAGTTTCCCCATCTAATTCACTATGGAACCACACAAATGCAGGAACAAGGGAAGTATGAACAGAAGGGCAACAGTATTTCTTTCTGGAGCAGTACCAGCTCTGGTGGCTTGCCAAATTCAGCAATCTTGAACTTGTTCAAAAGGCAAATTTAGTCCCTCAAGGTCAAACTGTAGCATCAGATGCATTTATGGTTTAATTCCCCCACTTAGAATTTGTTAACAAACGTGTATGTGAACCAGTACAAAACTAATCTAAAAATCAGTCTTAAGAACTGAAAAACCTCTGCCTGAGTAAAAACTTCACAACTGTAAAACGAATTTAGATGACCATAATTTTTATTCTAGTTCAAGGCTTGAACTGTGCTCATTAGCAAAAAATGAAGGCATTCTGAAGTAGTTTCAAATTGACAAGTCCAATTTTCAGAAGTATTTTTCAGTGTTACACAACCATTATGTGCACTCTGTGCACTGATTGTTTAATGTGTTGTGGCTACTATGACCACACATGTTTAAACTCAGACAGCTCCTTAATTTCTCAAGAGTTCTCAAAGCAATTAACATTATTATTAGCATTATTCAGTAAAAATGGAGAAGACCCCATTTAAATTAGAGCCTCCATTTAAACTCAGTGACAAACTGCAACAGCTTGGCAATGTGAATCACAGAAAAGTCTAGGCTGCCAAGGGGTCTCCAGAGATCACTTGTCCCACCTTCGGAAGGGAACAGAGCCTTATATGTGATGATCCAGAATCCTGATGTCAGTGGGCAACCTATTTGTGGTTAACTCCTCTAATGGTAAAGAACATTTTTCCTACATCCAGACACTTTTCCCTAAAGAACCTCACTGAAGCAATTCCTGCCCCTTCAGCCTGCTCCCCTATTAAGGGTGCACCTTCATTCTTCTCCATAACTAGTTTCTCAGTACTGGAAGACTGATCAGATCCTCCCTTCTCTAGGCTGAACAAGGCCCATTTCATTCATGCATTTAGCACTCTTCACAGCACTACTTGCAGGAAGTTACACAGTGAAAAACATCTGCTTATTTTAGGGGTTCAATGTTTCCAAATTTTCAAGTGCAGCTTGACAGCCAGATTACTGATCCTTTTGTGCCTCAGATGAAGACCTTACACGAAGACTTGAAGAAAATTAAATAAAACCCCATTCTGAAGATATTACAAGTGTCCTTCTAATTCACAGTGAGGAACATAATTCACTAGTACTTTTTAACTCTCATACTAACTAACAAAGATTTAGATTATTTCTCTTACATAAACAAATCTTCTACGTGCTGACCTCAAATGACAAAAGGCTTAAGTAATTTATTTTAAAATCGGCTTCCAAAGTGGATTAAGAGTGAGCCCCAGTACAGAAAACGGATTAAAGGGATCAAGAAGTCTTCCCTCGTGGGTACCGGGGAGTCGAAGCCAGCACAGACTGAAGCCCTGCACCGAGCGGTGTTTCCCGGCAGCCGCCTGCGGGTGTGCAGACCGACAGGGCCGGCTCTCCTGCGGGCCGCGGGTGTGCAGACCGACAGGGCCGGCTCTCCCGCCCGCTCGGGTGCCCGGCATGGCGCGGTGCTG